TTTAAATATATTTGCTTTAGGTCATGAGAAATGAGGCATGGTTAGGATTATTTAATGACTGATGTAACTTCTGCTAACAGTACCTATAAAATTTATATCTCTGTAATTAGGGAGTGAGAAAAGTTTATTATTTCAGAAGTATCCCTTTGGATGTGTAATTTCAGCTGGTTCTCACAGTCCTGAATAAGGTCCTTTGAATTACTTTCTAAACAATTCTGGATAAATGATCAGTCACATCTTTTGCTGCTTTTTCTGGGTTAAAACCTTAATTTTCTCACATGTGAGATGACAAAATCAGATCAGTGTTAAAATGCAGTTGAAATGTAACTGTTTTGTCAGAGAAGGTGCTGCACAGGCCGTGCTGGAGAGAGGCTGATGAGGTGATTAAACATCCTGCAAGGAGGAATTTCATTGGGAAGATTGAGAGCTGTGGTGAGAACTCCTCTCTGCCTACACACTTTTACCACTTCTCGCTCTGAGGATTTATAAATAGTTTATAAATTAAAATAATTAACCCCAGCACTCCCAGACTCACACCTTTCTGAACCAGAACACATGGTTCCATTAATAGTGGATAAAACATTAACTCCTGCAACCAGGGCACATATTAAAATGGAACAGAGTTGGAAATATCAGCAGCTGGAGTTCTTTTCCAGGCAAACATACGGATTTGGAAGGAATAGATGGATAATTTGCAATACAACAATGATTTAGTACAATAATAATTTCCTGGCTAGCTCCAGATCCCTGAAAAGAATGCCAGGGTTTTTAAAGAGTGATACGTGTACCAAATTCACTAAATCCCAAAACACAGTGCCCACGGGCTCTGGAAGTGTCCTCAAGCTGTCAGGGAAGGAACTTTTGTCACTGTTCACTTTGTGCAGAAGACCCTGTGCAGGAATTAAAGTTCCTTTTTTCTGCTGCTTCTCCCCAAACCCACCCAAACCATCACATGGCTGAAACCTCCCCAGCCCTGCACTTAGAGCATGCCTGGAAGCCTTAGTTAATCTCACCTGCAATCCAATTAAAAGCCTCTCAAAACCTTGCACCTGCACTAATTGTGGATTCACATCACTGCTTTGCAGTCATTAAGTCCACGAGTTAAAGTTTGGATGAGTGCAGCTAATCTGGTTTATCAACAGAGGGCTGCAAGGTTCCTGTGCTAAACCAGGATAATCAGCAGGGGTCAGCCAGGAATTATCTTGTCTCGCCAAGCATTTCAAAATGGTTAATTATGTTTGTTTATAAAAGTTGGACCTAAAACAACTGAAATCCGAGGGAAAAGCTTTGGAACTTTTAACTGCGAGTAACTCATTTGGCTGAGGTGTTGATTTATATCAGAAAGTTCTGTGAGCCTTTTATCCTTCAGCAAAAAGCAAGATACTGGGGTTATGTTTTCAAAGTGCAGCAGGTAAAAGTGCATCTCCATGCTGCTGAACATGTATTTCCATGGATATCTGTGTGCATGGACGCATATTCCCTAAGAAACACACGATGTGCTCCTCCCACCTCACAGAGTCAAGCTGTTCAATATTAACCCTGTTGCCAAATTCCTGTTGTAGATCCCAAAGTATCCAAACAGTCTAAAATTCTATATTTTACCAGAGATTTTTTAAAAGAAGTTTCTTTGTGCTCATCCAGGAGCAATGGAAAACCCACCTAGAGCCGTAGGTGATGATAAATAAAAACAGAGCATGGAGAAAGAGAGAAATAAGTAATTCAGCCAGGAACTATTTTTTTTTTTTTTTCCCTAAAGGATTCTTGCTCCCAATTCACCCAGGGTAAATCAGCACACCTGTGGCATGTGGAACAGATGGAGCAGGCATGGCAAACACCTCCAGCTGCACAGATCTGTTACACAGGTGCTGGGTTCAGGCTCTGCCTGGCCAAGGGCACTGGGGTTTGGAAAATGCCCAGAATTCCAGGGGCTGGAAGAGAAAAAACAGGGAGAAAGGAATCAGCTGGCAGCAGCATCTTCCAGAGCAGCCCCCAAGTGAGCCAAACCTGCCTGGCTCATTCCTCACCCCGTGCTCGGAATCACTGTCAAATTCCTAAACTTATTTGGCAGTTCATGGGGAGGAATTTTTGGCAGGAGTTACTGGAACAGAGACACTGGGATACTCAGTGCCTCAGTGGATGGTGTTAAACTCTTCCATGGCTGAGCATTCTGGGGCAGATGCTCTTGTGTGAGGTCTTCTTTTAACTCCATCCCCCTTATTCGCTGGGGGTTCTTTTCACACCTTGTTTTTTATCATTCCCATTTTCTGCCACACTTGCTCCCCCACCCTGGTTGTGGGTCTTTTTCTTTTTTTCCATTTTTCTTCTTTGATCCTTCCCTTCCCTTCCCTTCCCTTCCCTTCCCTGTTTTCTGTTTGTTTTTCTTATTTTAATTCCCCTCCTTGGTGGTTTTTTTTTTTTTTTTTTTGGGGGGGGGGGGGGATTTTTTTTTTTTTTTTTTTGGTGGGGAGGGTGGATATTTTTGTTCATTTTGTTGGGATTTTTTTTATGGGAGCTTTTTCTTTGCTTGGTTTGGTGTGAGTTTTTTTTCAGTTTTCTAATTTTTATTTTTAATTTTTTTCCTTTTTTCCTCCCTATTTATTTTCTTATCCTTGTTTTGTTTCTTTTTTTTTGAGGGTATTTATTTTCTCACTTGTGAAATTTCCCCCCTCCAGCTGAGGAGGACAGTGGCAGTGTCAGGGGGCAGTGACAGCCCGGGCTGCTCTCCACTCTGGACACGCTGCAGGTGTAACTCAAGCACAGTGACGTTTGTTATGTCCCTCTAAATAGCTCTGCTGATGGTGCAGAACTGGTGCTGAGCCAGGAGAAATGATAAAACATAATCAAGCCCCAGAAGACGACATTGTGATGTTGATAGAGACAAATTTATATCCCTCCTCTGCCCATGTTATGTCCAGATTCATCCATTTCCATTTGGTATCTGTGTGTTATAGAAGCCAAAACACTTGGTAATGATCCGCTGGGACAGGAACATTAGAAGGGTCTATTCTCTTATAAACTAATTTTCTCTCCAAAACTCTAATTCAAACACTAATTTTTCTGTTTAAAAAAAAAAAAAAATCTTCAGTTCCTTCTGTTGAAAAGCCACCTTTCCAGCTCTGAGCTGGTGGGGATGAGCTGTCTCCTCGTGAAGATTTAACTGGGTACATAAATCCGTGTGTTTATAGAGCAGAAATCTCTCTGTATAAACAGACTGAGCCTCCACTGACCAAAGAAGGCCAAACCCCAGGCTCTCACTTCAACAGAAATTTGCCTTTTTTAGTGTGATAATATCGGAGTGACGGCCAAGGTTTGGAATGGCAAGGCCTGAACTTCCACTCCAAAAATCCAGTCTAGGACGGGTAAGAAACTATGAGGGCGTTATGAGGGTAATATCTGCAGTTGGGAGGAAGCCTCAAAATTCTGGGAGGGTCTAAGTTGTGTTATGGACAATTTTGGACTCTGTTGAAATCTTCAGCATTGGTTGGTCCAGCTTTGCAGACCAGGCCTGGTACCGTGAACATCCCAACTCTTCTGAGTTTGATACTCAGATTGCATTTCACACAAGTAATGCTTATCTTTACTGAAAGCTTATCTAACAAAAATTTCTTCAGACAAAACATTTAAAATGTGAAAAAAAAAAGGTGGTTTGATTGCTGGGAAATGTCTGACTTCAGTCCTCCAATGCCAGTATCTAAAAGAAGTGTGAAATATCTGTCATTAAACCTGGGAGATTATAAACCAAATGACAACTGGTTTAATGCCAACGTTTTTGTTGGCGCTGCAGTTCATCTTGTTCTGATCTTTCATCAGCTCTGTAACTAAATTCAGAATTCTTGCTTTGGGTATCAAAGATGGTAAGAAAGAATCAACACATTTTCTCAGGTTTCACAGAGAAACCTGTGTTTCTTGGCTCTCAGGAGAGAAGATAAAACATCAATTAACAACATTCCATCTTCAGGAAGGCCTGGGTGAGATATCCCTCTAATATATAATCATCGTTTTCAGCAATCACAGTCTTTTTTCACTCTTCATTACCTTAACCATTTACACCCAAGTACTTCACGATTTCCTTGTTTATTTTTGCAGATATGAGCCATGAATGACTACATGATGTGCCAATTTCATTTGAATGATAAATGGAGATATTATTTCCCAGCAGGTGAATAAATACAAAGCTAGCAAGTCACGCCAAGAAAATCAGTAAAACCTTAAAAGTGGTTTAACCTTTTACTCGAACAAAACCCACCTTTGCAACCAAATATTTTATAAGCTCTTCCAGCACTTTTCCAAGGGTTATTTTACATTTTAATTGCTTCAGATATTTTCCCTGCATTGATTAGGCTGATCAGACAGGTGGATAAGGAAATATTGCTGTGAAGAGGATGGCTGAAGAAATAAATGCTGCTTTGATGTCAAGACTCACTGTGGCAGAGCAGCACCCAACATATCCATGAAGAACAGCACAGAAATAAAATGGGGAGTACCAAAACTGCTCAGGGATGGACAAAAAATTCGCCCTTCTGTGTTTATTTTCAGTATCCTATTGATAGCCTGAAGAATATTTGATAAATACTATGCTAATCTATGTAATGTGCTAATTACCTGTGGTATAAACATGTAATGCTACATAAAGAGGGCTTTTGGATCCCAGGTAATTTCAAGTTTTCAAGTGATCAGCATGTTTGTTTTATTGGTTTTTTGTTTTTTTTTTTCTGTGCAGGTTTGACTGCAGCCTTTGAAAATCCTGTGCTAAAGGTGGTTTTCCATAAAGAAGTCAGGGAAATAATTGTGTTCTCTTAGAAATAACTGGAAAGATGATAGGCCATCCTCTCTTGCAGAATTTGGCCTTCCTGTATAAATAAATCCTTTCACTGGAGGGAGCCTGTGTGGTCAAACTGATTGCCAGGAAGAGAACACTCTCAGTTCATTATCTGGAGGTCTTCAGCTCAATCCAAGGAGGCATTTTGCAATCACTAGCACAGAAAATAGATGCACTGAGATGCTATTGCACTTACAGAAAGCTTCAGGATAATTTATTTACGAGATGGCTTGTTGCTCTTACATACTACTTACATTCATCACATTCTTGGCATTTATTCTTCCCAGTTGGGCCAGTGAAAAGCAACCAATTACGGTGGTGCTCAGGCAGAAAAATTCCAGCCCCATCCAGAAGCAGGGAAGGACGAAGAATTATCCATGGGTTTCTTTAGAGGTTTTTAATAGGTTCAGCTCGAGCAAGTGGAAAGGAGTGTGGGAGATGCCAGCTCACAGGGCAGGGAGCTCACCTGGCCGTGGCAAAGAGTCCTTTGGGTCCTTCCCACCAAGGTCACAACACCCCTCTGCAAGGATCCTCTCCCCAGCCTTCCATCCAGGAGATTCCTGGGCAGGCTCCACTCTCCTGGCAGTTTTTGGGGCTGGGAATCTGCTGACACAGAAACTGAGGCTCTTCTGCAGGAGAAAAAAGCTGCCCCCTCATGTTCCAGTAAATGCGGGGTGTCCCTCAACCAGGAGGCAACTGAGCGGACAAAAAAAATCATAATTGGAGCTTGCCTCCATAGGAGGGACTTTTCCCAGAGTGCCTGAGCTGGAAAGGTGTGAATTCATTATTTGTGAGTCTGTAATTCTTTACTCCTTGAAAAAAATGAGGATTGTGGGAAAGGTGTTGGGTTTTCCAGCTTATTTCACCATAGCACTTGATTTAGGCTTTCAATACACAGCTCAAATCCCCTCCTGCATGGCTTTATCCACATATTTGGCCAGAAAAAAAACACTGATTCTCACTTTTATGGCAGTCTGAAAACTTTTTGGTCTAACAGGCAAATATTGCCTGGTGCATCCAGCAAAATTATTGCATCTTTATGTTTATGTGGATGAAATTATGTCTGAAACAAGCCTTGAGTGAGGTGGTGTTGCAGTTAAAGATTAAATCTGATTGTGTTCTGCATGGCACTGCTGTAAAACTGCTATTTCTGTTTAAAAAAAAAGTCCATTTTCCTCTAACAGATTACATTGTTTCTTTGAAGAGTGAGTTTAAGCAGCAAGTATTTATAAGAATATGTACATCATTAATCTCCAGCCTTTAATCTCTACAGTCCTACTTGACCCAGGGAGGCTTCAAAGGGGGTGGGTACCTTATATTTTTTTATTGAGAGAGGAGGTAAAATATAAAGGAAAGATCTGAAATCAGAGTTGTATCTGTAGCATTTCCTTTTAATCTGCATAATATATTTAATGCTCGACAGGTTGGGAAGCTACCTGGATATTTGCCTGATGAACAGTTCTAGGGACAAACTGGAAAGAGTAAACATATTAATTAGAGACTGCACAGCTCCTTCTTGCTGGTGTAATCATTAAATTGATTTTTCCAGTCTGACATGTAATTGTTCCACCGATGGAATCCTGCTTTCCACTCTCGTTCTGCTTCATCAATATTTCCTGTAAAACATGAAATGGGTTACATTAATCTAAATTTGAATCTCTTTGTATGCTAATTGAAAAATAATTTTGATTATCAATGTCATCTGCTCCAAATACATTATGGGATGGTCTTTTGCTTCTTTTCTTAAACCTGGAATGACTGAAAATTCAGTGATTAGTATTTTGACTTAACATCAGAAAGGAAGTAGTGCAAAGATATCATTCTGGATGGGTAATAAATATACTTTGGATTTTTAAAATATATATTTTTTTTAATATATATTTTGGATAATTCTTCTGTCCATCAAAATCATCATTTTTAAGTCACTTTTTTTTATCCTCAAAATATTCCTTTGGTTAAATATACCCTGCATTGAAACCCTGAAGACTAAATAATGCAAAATGAGAGAGATGCTTGTAAAGATAAGGTGAAATCACAGCTTTGTTTAAGGCAACAGCAGGATTTCCATTGTTTTAATGGATTTAATGGCGTCCAGGATCTCGACCTCCCACGGAACAAATCCCCAAATTTGAAGCATAAAGGGCACAGGTCTGGAGTAGGACACTGTCAAATGTGCACTATGTCAATGTGAAACCATCTTCTCTTTTCTTTTTCATCCCCAGCTTTAAAGCATTCTCCAAGTAATCCTGAGTCCCAAGGAAATATTTATTGCCAAATTTGTTACAAGCATGGGAGCAGAGGGTGAGTATGAGAAGAGTCATAGAAATACAGCATTTCACAGGGTATTTATGGACAGGGATCCCTTCCTGCAGCCCCAAAAGGTGATTAACACCATGAGAAAGGCAGTGGCCTTGCAGGAACATCCCAGACACCACCAAAATGTGGACAAAACCTGCAGGCTGTATCAGCCACTGATGCTCATCATTTTGTTTCAGCTGTAGAGTTCAGGATAAAGTTCAGAAACCATTGATGATCTGTGAATGCTTTGTTCATTCTGGACCCAACTCTGGTGGTGTCCCTCACTGGCAGGGCTCACTTCCAGAAAAACTTGGGGATGGTGTTCCTGAGGTAACAGCTCCGTGGGTTCTTTATGCTCCTTTGGCTTTTATGTTCTTCTGCTGTTCTTCTTCCCTCCATAAATACACCCCTTCCCCCTTTTTTACGACCTGCCAGCACTGCAAGTGTAACTGGTGATGTGAAAATGAAATACTTCTGTGTTTTACACATCACTAGAGAGAATATTTGAGGGAGAGAGTTCACTGATTCCGAGATTTAGCTTGGAGAAGCATCCAGTAATTTGGTCGCTTATCTGCAGTTTAGCTCAACGTTTCCAAACCTTTTTGGTCTGGAAATCCAGATGGCAATTTAATGAGACTTTGAAATGAGATTTACTTCTTGGTTCCAGTGAGACCAGAAATAAAACCAAGATATTTTTTTTCTCCGGGAAGTCCTGTACTTTTAAATGCAGTCAAAAAGAAAAGTGTGAAGAACAAATATGGGAAAAAATGTCAATAAATTAACCACACCCTTCTCCCTCAGCTCAAAGTTGTAAATAAGCTTGGTTATAACAGAGATCAAAGGAAAGTTCAGATACTTTAAAATTTCCTTTTTGCAGGCCACAACTGCCATTAACTCAGAGATGATTTGGAAGTGTTGGTAACAATAAAATCTCATTTTCATTGCTAACTATGCAGATAGAACTCAGAAACATGGGGACAAAACATGCACAACACTCTGCTTTCCTGACTCTAAGACCTCTCCTTTACACATATTTAATTTAAAGATGTAGTCAGGGTCTCAGGCAAAGCCAAATTTTTCACATTAAGTCAAATGGATTGGTAATTTAGTGTATGAAGCAGTAGCAGTATTATTTGGAGAAAACTGCCTGAACTGTGTTTTTCATTTTATTCTTGATTTTGGGTGTCCAGTTTTATTTATTCAGGCAAAACCTCCACTTATGAATTAAAAAGGAAACTCAAAAACCTCTCTTCTTTAATTATTCAGGTGTAGAGGTGTTTCCAGTCTGCCCAAAGACACTGAAATATCTCTGCCATAGACACATCTTGAATTAAAAGTCACTGTTCTGGAGTATAAATTATGGGGCTTTTCAGTCCTTTTTAAAGATTATGGTGAACAAGTGAGCCAGCTAGAGAAAGAAGACATCAAAAAATTCAGAGGAGCCACCATTATGGATCTAAAAACAAAAGGGGGATGGAAATCACTGAAATAAGAACTCGGATTCCCATTAGTTTGCTTTCCTTCCCCCCAGTGATAAGATCCAAATTGAAGTCACAAGTCAATGCATCCCATTATCACCAACATCATCAATCTCTGGGAGGCAACCACCCATGACTTAGATGAGCTGACAGCTGGGAGGCAAAAAAGAAAAAGATTAGAGAGTCCAAGCTGACCAATAATTACAGCTCAGAGCACTGTGTGCCTGCAGAGCCAGCTAAGAGCGAAAACAGGGAATTTTCTAGAAGCCACTGGGACAATCCCAAACTTTACCTTAATTCCCGTGCAAAGCCCAGTGAGGCTGGGCAGGAGAAAAGGGGAGATTCTGTAGGCAATTAATCTGTGCTCTGAAAGGTTCCAGTTTAACAGATCAAAACTTTAAAAAGGGGTTTTTTTGATTCTTCAACAATGCCGGCGCAATCAGCTGGAATTTCCTCTCATTCCATCTCTCCCTTACTTTAACGTGCTACAGCAAATTTAAATTTATCACCATCCCATCCTTTGAACTGCTGGATGTGCCAATAAAGTGCTAATCTTAACATTAACACACACAAACACATTTAGGATTGGGATAAAGGCCAAATAGCTGTTAATTAATAAGGGATGGCAAGTTAGAATTAATTTTTCTGTCCTCAACACCTCACGGATTGCAAGTTTCATGACTGCAGGTACTTGTAAGTTTCTGGGTTCTATAATATAATAAATGCCACAGGTTTATGCTGCATATTCTCATGGTGAGAGTTTCTCCACAAATGTCACAAATAATATCTATAGTGAATATTCTTTAATCACACTCTCTTGAGTATCAAAGCTTTGTTAGACACAGCAGTATATTCATTTTCACATGTGTTTTTAAGGACTGTAAAATCCTCTCTTTTATTGTTTTAGTTCTTCCAGAAGTCAGCAGAGCTCTCTGGGAGATGAATAATTCTAAGGGCTGTTATCTTTCCAATGACATGGAATGAAATGTTGGAAAGAAATCAGATGGTTTAAGTACAGGAACTTTTTGCTCACAGGTGCTCTTTGTTGGGAGGTGTGGTAGTATTGGTGAGATTACCTGTGATTAATTCACATTTCTTCATGTACCCAACTCTGTGGAAATTTAATTTAATTCTGATGGTGAATTTTCTATTTAGTCAATTTTTTAATATTCTTACCACCCTGAGTATTTATCTCACATCAAATACAATAATTTTTGTTGCTCATTGCTCAAGAGGTTGAACATTTCTCTGCCTCCACATAAAAAAGATCTTTTTAGGGTGGTTTTAAAAAGTAATGTATTTATATGACCAAGCTTGATTTCTTCATAGATGAATAATATCAAATAAAATAGAAAAAATACATATTAGGCATACTAAAATAGTAATGGAAAAGTAAATGGAAAATTTGGCTGCCTGCAGTGTTCTACAATCAAGAGGAAACGGGCTCATATAAATAGGAAGGGCTTTAGATGCATTAAAGGTTGTGATGAGGAGGTAAAGTCTAACACAGATCCTTTTATAATTAACATATGATTGCTCTAAAAGCCACTTAAAAGTCACTTACTGTTTACTGTCCCTCCAGTGTGGTACAGCAGCAGCTGCCAGCTGAAACCCTTCTGGTTTCAGGATGGAATGGGAAAGGCTGAGTGCTCCCAGCTTGTCCTGGGCTGGGCAGGGTGCAGGGTGTGAAATTGGGTTAAAATCCTGTAGGAATTGTGTCTGCTTGGAACTCAGAGCCCAGGTCTACTTGTCCTGGAATAAAAACTCCAGGTTCTGACTTGTGTCTTTAGTGATGGATTTAATAATTGAAACCCGAGGAGAAGACCTTGAGAAATCTTCCACAATCACACAAATTTCTCTAGAGGTATCAAGGCCATATTTTATATATGGCAGTTACTCTTGTGTTACTGTGAGAGCCTTATTTTTTCCTTATTATTTTCGTACCCCACAACCATAATAATTTTTTTAAAAAAAATCTGATATGATTGCTTGAAGAAAATGTGAATTTTCTAACAGTAAAGATATATATTTCTCATATATTTAACTGCCTCAGGGAACTTGTGTTACCCAGCCTGTGATGGGAACAGGCTGGTTCAGATCCAGGACGCGTTTGGAGCTGGCCTTTAAAGGCTTTAAAATCCTTCAGTGGGTGGCAAGGCTTGGGCTAGGAGTGGGTCAGGAATTAGGCAAGGGGTTACCAAGCAAATCCATGGCAAATCCTGATCACTTGATGCTGAAAAATTATGATTTCTGCAAAATAAGTGGTTTTGATTATCCTCTTTGGGTTCTACCTGATAGAATTCTACTCTGCCTATCTGAACCCTACTTGAACTTGTAACAGTGAGAACATAAAAATTCCTTAGTTGTTCCCTGTCATCTTATATCACCTCATGTTACAGCAACCTTCTTCTCCTAAGTATATTTCAATGAAAGGAGTAAGAGAAAGGACAGACCCTCAGAACAAGAGGAAATCTCTGCATTAATGCTGAGCACTGTCCTTTGGGCATAAAAGGAGAGAGCAAATGCAAAATAATATTTCAGTGAAGAGAATTATTGCAATATAAGCTATTATATCACATTTGTACGCAGGATTTCAAAGGGTTTTCTGTCAGAATTGGGTAATATTGTACAGGGAACATAATGGAAATACTCTGTTTTTATTATTGCAATGCTTCAAGGACTGACAGATGATACAAGACAAGGCAGTGCCACTTGTTGACAACATTCTTGCCTCAGTTCTATATTTGGATCCAGACAGGACGATTCTTCTCTTTTTGCTAAGAATACGCTGGTGAATTTCTTTTAATTAAATTATGTAAATTGATGTTGCGAATTACCGAATGTGGCACAGTGATGAATTTATGTCTGCTGGCAGGTCCTGAGTGTTGCTTCATCATCCCTCATCCCACAGGACCAGGCAGAGCAGCTCTTCTCTGCCCCAGGATGTGTTGAACTCCAGTGATCTGCTCCCTCCTGCTCCACGCGGGCTTAGTTAAGCTCAGCCCATTTGTAGGATCCACATTTTTCCCTAGGCTTTCCCAGCCAGGTTAAAGGAATATATAAAAGAGCTCAGTTCTCCTGGCTCAGCACAAAGTTGTCAGAATCTTTGAAACCTCCCTGAAATCCACCCGTAATTAGGAAAGCTGTGATTTTAAAATCACACAGTAGGCTTCATAAATAATTCATTTTACCTACTGATTTCGTGTCTCTTGATTTAATTGAAAAACATCTGTTGAATTGAGAGGGGATAAAAGTTGAGCCATAATACAGTCACAGACTCAAATGAGGAGGGAATAAATTATTTCAGAAGGAATCATCTGTGCACTGTGACAGTTTACATATTTTTAAGGCTTACGTGTTTTTTAAGACAAGCATTCAAATTGAGTCTTAGAGAAAGATTTTAAATTACTAATTAACATCTTAAAAGTGTATCTCATTTTTGAAATGAGACTTTCCCTCAGTCAAGCTGCAGAATGTGATTCCAGAGCTGCAAAATCACTTTATAAAATCAATTCCTTTTGAAATCCAGAGCACAGAGGCTTCATCTATTGCTGGGCTTTGGTAAAACAGGGCCACCGGTGTTCGAAAAACTTGGTTCTTCTCTGTTCAACTGATCCTAAAGTTTCAAACAATTATATTTTTCTTGGTGGTGAAATCTCATAAATCTGTTGCATACATGGCCAGGCACAACTCAGTTCTGTTTTCTATAGGCAAATCCTGCAGGCTCTGGGCTCTCAGCAATGACACTCCAGAAATAAAACACAGGGCTCTCACGTGAGCTGGAAACCAGAATCCCCTCTTGGCAGTGCACTTCATATCCTCAGGGGATCAGTTGCATAAAATAGAATCCCATAAATAATAGATAATATAATCCAAATATAACATCCTGTAACGTCCCACAGTTTATACAGAACACCTAAAGCCTCCAGAGTTCCCAGTGCAAACTCTCCTTTAGCACTGATTTTCCTGCTCACTCCTGCACCCAAAAACCCTGGTGGCACCAAAAATCTTTCAAGGGGTACCCAAGAACAGAGGTTTCAGCACTCAGTGTCTCACATTGTAGCTGCATCTGAACTTTGGGACAGAAAAACTTCATATCACAAAGTCCTGGCCCTTGGTGTGTCCCCAGGTTTTGTTCCTGGTACAAAATGGGGTGGTGACCCCAAAGCCAGAAGCACAGGGCATGTTCTGGGGTTCACCCTCAACACAGCATGGACAGTTCTATCCAACGCTAATTCAGTTTTACCCAAATGAACATCTCAATTACAAACAGGAACAGAAAGATCTGAACTCAATTATCACATTAACATCCAGCAAATGATCCTTGCATTAAAGTTTTATATAAAAGCATCTAGGAAAGAATTGTTACCTGTCATTTCCATGACTTTGGGGAAAAAGTGTTTCCAGAATCGACACTGCTGAGCTCGTAGTTTTGTCAGTACCTCGGAAGTGTTGGTGTTCAATGTCAAATATTTTTGGTCAGTACTAGTGAAGACTGGCCATTTTATTCCATTAGTCAGGGTCCCATTTGGAGCTCTAAACGAGAAAAGAAACACTTCATTTAGAATGAGAAACCACCTCAGCACACAACAAAGCAGAATTTGGGTTTATTTAATAGTTGTTCAGTTTAAGTGTGTTAGTTTAGAATGACTGATGTGTCCTTTTGGAAGTAACAGGGGAAAAAAGCCAGATAAATTTCATTTACCCTCATTTGAAGAAAAAAAAAAAATCCCCCTTTTGAGGTGTTCTGGGTTCATCAAAGGGAAAAGCTTAATAAATGATCATATTAAAGCAACTTTTTGAATCTGGAGATTCTCACAGAAGCTATGAATTATTAGAGATGACTCTAGAACTAACCAGCCTGCCAGTCTGAGAGGCTGAGTGGTTTGTGTTTTAGTTTGAATGCCTTTGATCCTTTTAGATGGACAAAAAGATTGGAGTAAATGACTGGGATAAATATGCTAGTAAAGGTAAAAATAATGTCTAAATTGGGATAAGATCTCTACTGGGAGAGAAAGCAACTATTCCTCATTAAGAAGGAACTGTCATCCTGGAGGAGTGTTGAGTCCTGTTTGTGGAGGGCCAAATGGGAACAATCTGAAATCTTGTGGTAACTGGGAAGAGGTACAGAGGGCTTGACCCTTTATAAAACCAGCTCTGCATGTGAAAGGAGCACAGCTGTTGGTATTAAAAGAGCTGTGATAAATATTTATAATACAACAGAATTCAAAAGGCTCCAAGGACAGGCATCCAGATTTCACCTCCAGAAATGACAGTATCTGTATGAGGGGGAAAAAATGGTTTAAATGTGTAGGAGAACAACAAAATGGGCAGCGTTACATTAGGGAACAAACAAAACAGAACATGAATTTTAGAATAAGTAGATTTGTATTTCAAACAGTCACAGGTCTCCATTAGCTCAGAAGAGGTTAAGGATAGAAGTTAAACATTTTATTTCAGTGCAAGTACAAGGAGCCATTTTCTTTCCTAGAAGCTGACATCTGGGAATCTGGGATTTAGGGCAGAGCAACAGTAATTGGTGATTCTTGGTGGGATAAATTAACTCTGAGCTGAGTTCATTTGGTTCTCTCTGCTTTACTTTTCACCAGGACTCTTGCTGGAAGGCAGAAGGCAAAGAGGAGTCCAGGGAGTGGAGCCCATTTGGGTTCTGCTTCCCAAGAGCGGGAGGAAAGTAAGAGGTGTGGGTGGGAGCACTCAGAACACAAGACACTGAAGCAATATCGATATTTCTCGGTTAATTTGGAATTAATCAAGTGTCCAGTCCATGTTTTTGTGTTCTGGGTCTTTGGCATTGGCTGCTTCAAGAATCAGTGTTGGAATAAGAGCTTCAGGCTGTCATTTCCTGACCTGCTCCCTTCTTCACTGATTTTTCCTGACTAATTCAGCTCTGATTAACCCATGTCACCTTTTTTAAGTGAACGTTTATTTGTGGCTCCTGCGAATGATGACTTAAGCAGAGCTGACTTGCACTTCAGTTCAAGATCAGAATGCTAATGGTGCTGTCAGTATTCATTTAACAGCTTTTATGCTATGAAATAAATCATGACATCCCACATTACCATTTACAGGTGTGTGGGGGGATTACACAATGCCTCGATGGCTACAGATGTATTTTACTAAAAAATGATTGAAAGAACTATCAGGTGAACACAGCACTTTGAAGCCCGTGAACATGCTGATTATGACACTCTCTGCATTTCTAGAAAGTTTACTGTTCAAAGAAATGCCCAGCAATTTCCTTCTTGGTTTTAATGTTGAAAATTTCCCAAGTTAAAAAGCAGCTCCCAGTCGGAGCAAAAGGGAGATCACAGGAGTATAATTTGGAACAAGTTATGATTATAACCTTGTTGTTCCCTCACAATTACTGTTCATTCCTTCTTACTAATAACTTTATGATGAGAATTGCAGTGCCCAGAATAGGCTGTAAAATTCCCTGTTCTTTGCACCAAATTCAAGGTCTAATAATATTCATACAGAACAGTGGAAGTATGGTAGGAATATCTTCAGTGAGCAGACAGGAATCCAATACCCTGCACAAACCTGTCACTGCCCATTTAGGTTTGGATGGACAATCTTTGGTGATCGATTACAGAAACTTGTTTGTACTGAAAAAAAAAAAGTTCCATTTGCATGGAAACCTCCATTCTATCATCTTTTATCAATTCCTTAATCCTCTGCTCTTTCATCTTCTGGTATTGCTTAATCACCTCTGCTTCAGTAATTCCAGTTTTGCCACTTCAGTGCTGGCATTGGGGCCTGATGGTGTGTCCTGAAAAGGTTTTGGGCTATGCATCTTCAGGCCAGGCCTCTATTTCATGGTTTTATCTTGTAAATCACCTTTCTTGGACAAGATTTATTCAGAGAAGGCCTTAATTTTGTTTGGAGGAAATCATCAAATAGTATGGCTTCAAAGGGAAGTTGGAAGATCCAACCTCCTGAAATGAGCAGGGACATCTTCAGCTAGACCTTCACTGAAGATCTCAGAAAGAATCTTTTTCCTTTTCTACCCTTTTTACCATTTGCAGGAGCAAGTCCTAAGGCAATGAAGAAATACAACTCTTTGAATCGCTCCCAGAAAAGAAATGCATGACAGAAAAACAAAACAAAACAAAAAAAAAAAAACAAACCAAACCAAAACACAAACTCAAACCACCTGTGTTTAAACTCTGGTGTAAACAGAATTTGTCTTATTCCTGCAGCTATGTTTTCTCTTTGCATATGCCCTGAAATTATAGGCTGGATTCTCTCTACTCTGGTAGTGACACAGCAGCTCATTTATAGTAAATTATTTTGTTAAGATATGTTTTTAAGTGGAAGTTTCTTGGTAGTACTTGTTACTTAGATCAGGTTCTTCCCCCTTTGGGTTTTTCCATCCACAATTGCCAATATTTCTAGTTTTCAAGATTAATTTATAACAAGTGTACTAAATTTGATATAGGCGTGAAGAGGGTTTTGGAAGAGCTTATTCACCAATCATTTCTCAGTATTTAATATTCATCTTCAGCAACTTTAGAAAGAGAAAGTTAATTTCATTCCAATGGAAAATGCAACATGAACAGAGCTCTGTTAATCATAATAAACATACATGCATTACCATTCTCATTAATATGATCAATATAGCCTGAAAAACAATACCAGCTCACTGCATTTTTATTAATATTCACACAGCATTACCTTTACAAATGGTTTATCATACAGACACACAAAAATATGTAATTCATCATCTGACTGCTTTTGGTAAACATTCAGGATATAAAGTACCTGGAGAACATTCCCTTTATTTTTGGGAGCATGTTCTGAATAGCAGAGTGAAAACTCACGGAGTGAATTCTGTCATTATCACAGAGGTTATTCTTTTGTAGTGTTAAGTTGCATTTTGAAGAAGTCCAGAATGGAACCTATTCCCTGCTAACCCTCCTGAAAACATGTTTAGGGTGCTTTAGGATTTACCTTTGTAAAACAAGTGTCCTACAGTGTAGCTTAGACTGCCCCAAGCTTTCACCACGTTCCTGTTTGTGACTTACCTTGTGGGTTTTTCCAGAGGACAAAAAAAACAATCCCACATCTCAGTGCCCACTAAGATGAATGAAAATTAATAATTCTGCTGCACCCTCTGATTCCCCTGTGCAGGAGGAATTAACATCCAAGGGAGACCTGCTCCTCCCAGTGTGAGTGGATTGGCTTCACCCTGCCTGGAACTGCTGATGCTCCTTTCCAATTTGGCCCTTTTTCTTTTAAAAGCTGGTTTAAAGGCAGGAGAGAGGGAATGTGAATCCCTTTTTATGATTTTTTTAATGCTTTTGTGATTCCTGGTGGCTGTTGGGCAGCACTGGCAATCAGCTGGTTTCCATGGGATGGTATTTTATGAAGTGTTACCATGGGCACAAGAAAACCAGGAGGGGGAATGGCTTTGGAGGGAATGCAACAGCAAAAATAACCCCAACTCTTGCAGGTTTCCTGCAGCCGCAGCACAAAACCTCTGAGAATTATGGAAACAGTCAGTTCAGCATCAAACAAGAAGGACAACCTAAAGGTTTACCCCAAGGGTGGCTCTGGGAGTAAGGGCTGCTTCTGCACATCTGATGGTTGGATGATCTTCAAGGTCTAAACCAAACAGATGAACCTTTTTTAATTTTTTCCCCCCCCTCACATTTTGGAAGGAAACATTTTATTTTTCCTCTTTCCCATTTGGGCAGGAGGACACTCTTAATTAGCAGGAATGTTAGTGAGGAGCTCCAGGCCCTCCTGTGCTGCCCCAGTCCCATTCCAGAGGGGTGGGAAGTGTTTGTGGCATTAGCCAGGCCAGCACAGCCAGATTTCTCACATGATTCCTGAAGGCCAGGACGGGTGATATTTATACCTGTGCTCATTTTCCCATTGCAGCACACTGGCTGCCAGGTTATCTGAATTTGGGGTGCTGGTGTGGTCCCCGAGGGGATGATGGGGTTGTGACAGCAGGTTTTGAAAGGATTTGCTTGAACGACACCATGGATGTGAGAAAATAGTGATGGGTTTCTGAAAATATAAGTCATTAAACATTTCTCATATAATTGATCTAAATTATCCTATAATTGAAATTTAAAAAAAAAAAAAAAGCCATAGAATTGTTCTTAATAAGGTGCAGAAATCCTGATTTTGTGGCATTTGAGCCTTACTGACATTCCCACAGTAGGAAAGAAAGGGCTCCTCTGATGAGCACTACGAGTCTGAGGGATGTGCAGACTCGAATCCTTCAAACTCCCTTTGTAATCAGCTGGTTCTGGGAAGTTCATTATACCCTGCTGTGCTCAGTTCTCACTCCCAGATCACACACACGAGTCCATAATCCAGTGACTGCAAAGTGTCCCTGAGCCAGAGGGAAACGCTTTGCAAGTCCTAGCCTGGGTAAATATTATTCCTTCTGTTGATCCCTGAAGAAAGCAGCAGGATCCAGCTGGCAAAGTCCTTAACTGAGAGAAACTGGAGAAGAACCTTTGCAGCCAGGCTTTCTTACACCTTCACAGGCTAAATAAAGC